GTTGAATGTTTGTCTGTGATTTGTGCATATCGAGATCCTCGTGGGTTCCAACAAAGTGTTCATTAACTTATAATTTTTTTCATTTTGTTTGCGTCCTGTTTACATTATATTATATATATTTATATATATTGTTGACGATTATAACTGTCAACTTTCCCCACTTGGGGAGTCGGACCCCTGGTGAGCCATTGATCATGCACTGAGGACTCATGACCTTTCACAGCTCTCTTGCCTTAGGGTGAAAACCCATCTTTGGACTCTCTGTGGTTTTTGCCCTTTTCCAGACTTGAACTCTGCACCCTGAGAGAAGGTGAAAGAGGAAAAAAAGGAGAGATTTTACATTATGTATAATAATAATAGTAGAAAAAAAAAATATCTTTGTTTTTTGTTTGTTTTAAAGAATCTCAATTTGGGAGTTTGATTTTTAATTGCTGACTGGATTTAGTGAAGTAAAATGAATATGATGTGCCGCGGCTGAAGAACATTGCGTTTGGTCGCTCATCGGTTTTAGATCCTGGTTTCCCTCTCCTTCTCCTTCCTAACGGGGAGGTCATGTTGGAGATGACAAAGGCGAAGCTCGAAGCTCGGGCTCGTAGAGATGTGAGCAGTATATATTACGTGTATAGGTAGTATATGTTCAGTATATATTTTCGTAATTCGTCCTCCGTCGTGTGTTTTTCATCTGACCCGTGCTTCATTTGCTTTTATTCAGTTGATAGGCTTTGGATTATTTGATTTTGTACACACTTCTGCTGTTATGAGTAGTTTATGATATATATATAATCCACAGTCTATTTTGGCTATACTTACTATTTTTATGTTATTTCTATTCATGAATCTATTTTTTCAATTAATTGACACTAGTACAGATCCCGTGCGATGCACGGGGTGCACAAAATTAAGGTCATTTATCAAGTCTTATAATTATATAAATGAATAAAGAAAAATGTACGGGATATATATAGTACGTGACCTGTAATAGGCCAAAATGTGAACACGGGTGATGCATGAGATGCACAATTTTAAGGTCATTTATTAGTACAGAGTCGGTGCGATGCACGGGGTGCACAATTTTCTAGTATGTGTAATACAAATACATACAGTATGCACGAGACAAAAATATTAAATGACTTATTTCCACAGAGCTTGCCCGTTAAGTAGCTCTTGAACACGGGTGCACAATTTGTAGTACGTACTATAAATCAAAACAGATTTCCATACAATTAGAGAATAAATAAAACATTTTTTATTTTAGTAAAGATTATACGTACTTTTTTTTACATAAGGATGTTATGGGATTTTTTTTGTTAAACTGATTTTATGGGATATAATACAAATACAATTAGAGGATTGAACAAAATCAGAACAGATTTATATACAATTAGATAATAAGAAGAAATTAGATAAGGAAAAGAAGAAATTAGATAATGAATTTTGAATCTACCTTTTTTTAGTATAGATAGACTTTATATACAAATTTTGACTTCACCGATTTTATGAGATTTGTTTTGACAAAATCAAAGACGAACACTGAAGATTGTTTCTATTAACATTTACACTGTGTGTTTAATGTTTTTTTTTTTTTGGCAAAATATTCTTTTTAATTGTGATATATAAATATTAAAAATACTTAAAATATTTAATAAAAGCATCTAAAATATTCTATATTATTCACAAATAATGTTTGAAGCTACCTAAATTTTTCTAAACTACCCGTAAGGAAAATATGTATAAAAATTCTTCATTTAACCTCCATATATGCATATATATAGAGAGAGCAAATGTGTAAAAAAAATTATACAAATAATATTTAAAAGTATCTAATATATTAGTAATTAGACAGGTGAAATTTAGATTTTTTAAAAAATCTATATAGATAATGGATTTATGATAGTAATTAAACTTTTATTTATTTACCTTTAAAGTTGTAAGATAGAGGGATGTGATTTTTTTGACTCGTGGAGATGGAATTTTATAAGTTGGGTTATGAAATTTTTCTTAAACTCATTCATATCTATGTGATGAGTTTTTTAAGTTGGTTATATAGATTTAAACTTGTAAAAAAAAACAAAAAAAAAAAACTTTCATAAATCATTTGATTTGGTATTTTCGGAGAGCTTCATTAATTTAAAAGTGTAAAACAAATAAATAAAAAAAGTACAACTGAAAAAGTTATAACCAATTGTATGGAGAATTAAACTAAATCCAATTTTGTAGGATGCATTAAATATTGATTAGATTTTATATGTAAAATAAAATAAAAATAACTGGAATAGTTTTACGTGTTGCAATATTTTACATTTAAAAAAATTAAAAAATCTTCTTTTACGTATTGCATACCAACATTTTAGGAAATACATGGATATTCCTAAATTAATATTGCATACCCAATATTTTATAAACTAATTAAATGCTAATTTGATTTGCATACCAAGAATATTAGATGTATTAATTAAATGCTTGATAAAAATAGCAAATCATAATTAGAGTTGACTATTCTACATACTACATTTAGTAAATAGTATAGCTTTTAATATAAGTATAAAATTCTTTCAAACTACTGACATTTGTATTTGTATCATATACTTTACATATACTAAAATGATTTATTAAAATAATGATTATGATCAGTTTATAATATGTATATGACATGTTATATACTGAACAAAGATTCAAATATCACAATTATGGTTAGGTAAGAATGCCATGTAAATAAAAAAGGCAACATATATTGAATATATTTATCATAAACTCAATATACTGAACCAAAATTCAAACATCACAATTGTGGTTAAATAAAAATGTTATGTAAATAAAAAAAAATCAGGTTATATACTGATTATATACTGACTATAAAAGCAATATATATTGCCCATTCAAAACACGAAAACTAAAAATCCTACAATCTGCGAAGGGGGGACAATTATTTTTTATTTGGTAACTGAAAATCCTATAATTTGAGGGGGAGAGTTAAATTTTATTTGGTAACTGAATCCCATAATCTTGTGCATATTTACCATTAATTGACACAGAATTAATAAAGATGGATGTAAAGTTTGTGCCATCATAAAATTCTATATTTTTACAAATCACGAATTTGGATTTGGTTTTAGGTTACCATAAAACCATGAATCTGGATTCTCTTAACTGCCAACATTCGAATTTGGATTTGATTTTATGTTACCATAACGTAATAAACCATGAATCTTTCAATGGAACAGTCGGCACGTAGCGATTCTCTTAACTGAGTCTACTCGTTTGCTGAAATGCCAAGCAAAGAGCCAAAAATGAGTTTATTTGAGAGCTGAATTAAGACAAATCTCTCTCTTTCTCTCTCTCTCTCTCTTGAACTCCTCTGCAGCTCTAATGAACAATTTCGTCATTTTTTTTGCTGTAATTTTCTCATTTCGACCGCTAGTAGCCGTCATCTCATCCCGTTCAGTACCCGACCCGATATGCAAGGGCCCCGACCCGACAAATCTCCGATCCGACCAAATGACTGTGATAATCAGCGGTTACTCGGAGCACCGGATCCCGCTGCTCCACTCGATCACGTCCGCCTACTCCGCTTCGCCGGCGGTGGCCGACGTCGTCCTCCTCTGGTGCAACCCCTCCACCCCGGCCCGAACCCTCGCCGGCCTCTCACAGAACCTCTCCGGCGCCGCCGCTGTGCTCCGCGCGCCCTCCTCCAGCCTCAACCACCGGTTCTATCCCCTGGAGACCATCAGGACCAGAGCCGTCCTCATCTGCGACGACGACGTGGAACCCGACCCGAGATCCGTCTCGTTCGTGTTCGCCGTCTGGAGATCTGACCCGGCTCGGGCGGTGGGGCTATTCGCCAGGTCGCACGCATACGACATCGCGTCGAGGACCTGGATCTACACCATGGAGAGGGAGAAATACTCGATCGTCCTCACCAAATTCATGATCGTCAACATCAAGCACCTCGTGACTTATTCGTGCGGTCGGGAGTACCAGGAGGCTAGGCGCATAGTGGAGGAGATGAACAACTGCGAGGATATTCTGATGAATTTCGTGGTGGCAGAGGAAAACCAGAGGGGGCCGGTGCTGGTGGGGGTGAGGGGAGGAGGGGTGAGGGATTACGGGGATGCGCGAAACGACGGGGCGTTGAGGGAGGTGGGTTTGAGCAGCAGAAGAGGGGAGCATAGGAAGAGGAGAGGGGAGTGTATAAGGGAGTTTCATAGGGTCTTGGGGAGGATGCCATTGAAGTTCAGTTATGGGAAGATGGTAGATGATGTTGGGGAACAAGGGCTGTGCAAGAAAAGTGGCAAGTTGGTTTCCTGTGATCAGCAAGACTCCAGGTGAAAGATTCATCAAGCTGTCAAATTTTGTTTTGAAAAATTGTTGTAATGAGTGTTATCTTTCAAGATTACTATTTTTAGTGACTCTTATAAATGATTTAAATTCAGCCAACTGTATCAGTGTGGTTGTTTGCTATGGTGAGATGGTTACTGGAGCCCCCTACAAAATTGCAAGAAATCATACTTATATTATATACCCGCCAAATATGGAGCTCCCCTTACACACCTGAATTGGAAAAAGAAAAATAAGGACAAATAGTAAGAGAGAGAAATTGGGTGTGTATGTGTTATGTGTGTCTGTGTTTGTGTGTGTGTGTGTGTGTGTGTATGTGTGTGTGCGTGTGTGTGTGCGTGTGTGAGTGTGTGTGTGTGTGTGTGTGTGTGTGTGAGAGAGAGAGAGAGAGAGAGAGAGAGAGAGAGAGAGAGAGAGAGAGTGATACGGGACAGGACAATATTCAGGTTTCAATTTGCAGAACATCTAGAAGTTCTTGTGTTGAAGAACAACGCATACAAAGATAACCACAAGAACTTTGTGACCATCAAGAGGAGGAGAAATTTGGTACAGAGGTTATTTATTCTCTTATTAAGTCTAGAAAAAAAAAATTAAGGTTTGATATTTGAGGAAAAGGGATAAAATGTGGCCCCCACCTGAGAATCATGGGGAGAGGACGCCTCCAATGCCTAGATTGGTTGCTGTGGCTATTGACAGGGATAGGGGTAGCCAAATTGCCTTGAAATGGGCTGTTGACAATCTTCTCGCCAAAGGCCAGACTGTGATCTTGGTTCACGTCAAAGTGAAACACTCTTTCTCTGGATTGGCCACATCACCATCTTTGCCTACCCCTTGTAATTATAGTTATCTGTTTATTCTTCTTCTTCACTTCATATCTTAGTTTGTACTTTGTATGCATGCATGTTTGATTTTTCGTATATGTGGTTTTTGAGCACCTGGGATTTCGGATTTATTCTCCTGCAATTGCTATGGATTGCTCTGTTGCAAAATTCATCTCTTCAATCTTTTTGCTTCTCTTTTTT